TCTATTTTTAAGAAATAATTATCATAAAATCAACTTAAAAATTATCATTTAAGCTATTTAAAATAATAAATTTAATTAAATACATACAACTTGATTATTTTGGCTTTTGATATGCTTTTTTTTTTTTTGAAGTTCATAGACCAATTTGAGAGAAAATAAACTTTCTAAACCAAAATGATAATAAACCTATAACTAATAGACTAAATGTTAAATTTAGGCCATTTCACTTTGCACAACAACCCAAAATTACCTATTTCTAACACGTGCATCTATCACCACCACCAATCATCCCAACACTCTTCAACCATTTTGACAATGTCAGTAATCTTTCTCTTCCCCCCAATTTAACCCCTTTTTAAAAAAAAAAAATAAAATTGAATAAAATCTTTCTGAATCTTGTTTGATATCCTTCTTTTGATCCTTTTTTTTCTGGAGCTTGATCTATCCTCTTCGTTTTCAATCTCCAAGAATCGGTTGAGATCGGATTCAGATGGCGGCGTCAAGACGATTGCATGACCTCTAATCTCAACCAGGGAACAAGATCTGCGTCGACTGTGCCCAAAAGATTCTGCAATGGGCTTCAATATCCTATGGCATCTTCATGTGTTTGGAGTGCTCCGGCAAGCACCGTGGTCTCGGCGTCTATATTTCTTTCGTCAGGTTTGTTACCATGGACTCTTGGTTTCGATGGAGGTGAAGCAGGGAGACCACGCTGCTTTTGCTACGACTGTCACAAAGGAGATGAGGTGGTGTCCAGCGGGTTGAACGAGTCGAACGGGTTTGGACGAGCCAACTCTCAAAACGGGCCGAAGCATGCACTCGGCCTGTTTTTAAGCTCGGGTTTGGTTGAACCGATTCATCCGACCGGACCGGGCTGGGTTTTAAAACAATGGTTGGAATGAATTAATGTCCTCCTGCCACGTCGCCATCGTAACTTTTGGATCTACTGTCCTGAGTATTACTCCTCCACATTGTTGCGTCACGTGCTCTCCGTGAACAAGATCGAATGACTCCAGTTTTGTAACGGATGTCGGTGGGGTCAGACAGTTTTCCTGTAAGGTCCACATGTAATTTCGGCGACAATTTTGTCTACCAAAACAAAAACCAAATTAAATAAATAAATAGATATAATAAAATCAATTAATTTATTAATTTAAATGGAAGGCATTTGATTTTTTTTTAATAAAATTTTAAATTTAAATTTTATTAAATAAAAAATAAGTATAAATCAATTTTAAATTAATTTAAAATTATCATTGCATGATTATTGAAAATCAAAAGATTAATATCAAAGAAAAAAGTATGATAAAATATATTGGGTTAGTGTTTGTCCGCCTTACCTCCCAAAAATTAAGAGGAAAAAAGACAAATATCACCTTTAAAGGTGCTTTAAAAATAAAATAGTTTAGTCTTTTTTAATAAAAAATTATTGAAACGACGTAATTTTAGAATTATTTTTCTCCAAATCTTTAAGAGGTAAGGCTGAGAACTAACTTTTCCCAAAATATACTATGAACCAAGCACATACCTCGATCCGCTCCTATAAATACCTAATCCAAGGCTCACCGCTATATCCAAACACAAACGCTTCTCGAAAACCGTCGGAATGCTACCGAACTGCCGTTTCCTTTTCCTCTTTATTTCTCTTCTCCTCCTTCGTCTCATCTGCGCAGGCGCCAGTGCACGCCTCGGAGTTGGAGGATGGCAGCCAATAAAGGATCTGAATGACTCGCACGTGAAGGGGATTGCTGAGTTTGCGGTGGCAGAGATCAACAAGCAGTCTGAAACGAATCTGAAGCTGGATAGCATTGTCAAGGGAGAACAACAGGTCGTTTCAGGAGTCAATTACAGACTGATTTTGGCCATCAAAGATGGAGTGCAGAGTAAGAGTTACGAGGTTACCGTATGGGAAAAGGCTTGGGAGAATTTCAGGAAACTCATCTCATTTAAACCTGCTATAACTATTTAGAATGACGAAATTTGTTCCCCATCAAAAATTTCTATTAAGGCGGCCCCTTACCATCTGTATTTTATGGTAGAGGTTCCATGGCTCAAAAGAGCCAGTTTAGACATATAGTTTTAATTTTTATGAGTACAAAATACTTTATAAATATTTGATATTGTTTGAATTGTAAAATATTTTTTTATTTTTTTCATTTTATAAAAGTTCTATTTTAGAATATTCTTGCCAAAGTGATGAGTCATAGAATTGTATCTATGCTAAAGATTCCGGGAAAAAAATATCTATTTTTACAAGTATACTAATCTGAAAGTAGTAACAATTAACAGTTTTTTTCTAATCTAATGAATAGTCACTTGTTTCAAAAACTGCTATGTCAAATAGTAATTACTTGCCACTTTCGTTATCCTCATCTCTATCAAAACCTAAAACTAATGCATATATTAATTTTAGCATATCAGTCTCTAACTTCTAAAAAAATATTGGAGTTTTATCTTTAAATAATGTGTTTTATTTAATTAAAAGGAAAAATTACATTTTAGTTATTTGTGGTTTAAAGTTGGTGCATGTAACTCAAGATTTTAAAATGTGCATATAATATATTTGTGATTTGATATAGGTGCATGTAAAAACTTTGAAATTTCAAGATGTGCAAATAAAGGCTTTAGGTTTGTGTTACGTGCATATAACCATTTAATTTTACATGAAATTGTCATAAATATCTTTATTTTTCTTTTCATTTATTCTTTTAAGTTACAAGATTTTAAGAAATTTCAAGTGATTTTTGCACAAAGTGAAAACCTTAGCTGTTTATGTGCATATTTTAATATCTCAAGTCTTCATCTGTATATACTTAAAACTACAAGTATGCTACGTGCACATTTAAAAATCTCAAATCTTCAGATGCATTTATCTCAAATCACAAGTAACTATATTGTAATTTCCCCTAATTAAAACTTGATTCCAAATTTAGAAATTCATTTTATTAAATGCATTTTAAAGTCAATTACATTATGAATATAAAAAGTAAAAAATCCACCTTATTAAATACTTCATCCCTTCATTTTTACTTAACCTAGTTATATTTTTTAACTTTTCAAACATAAGTTTTAAATAAAAATTTAACAACTTTTATATACGATCAACAATTGAAAATTTTTTCCCTGTAGATGTAGTTCTTGTGAGTATTTTTATTGGATTAAAAAAAATTTTCAATTATCATTTATATAATATATTAAATTTTCATCTAAAATTTATGTTTTAAAAGTCAAAAAATCAAACTAGAATTACGAAAAATGAATAAAAAAAATAGTACATATTAATTTTTAAATGTAAATATGAATATTTAATAAGGTAGATTGAGAATGATTTGCACCATCCACCATTTTCGAACCGATTACCTAATTTCATTTTATGTTTTTATTTCTTGCCAAAATAAAGATTCATTTTTAGTAACTTTTTTATTTGCTCCTTTAATAATTATTTTTTCCATTTTTTTGGGGTTAATTACTCAATTTAGTGTCACTTTCCTTATCCACGAAAATCAATACAAAAGGCCTGTTATACACGTCCCTCCGCTCCCATAAATACCCACCACCTCTACAGTCGGCTCTACTCAAAAACCGTCACAATGAAATCGAATTTCTCTTTCTTTGTCCTCTCTATTTTTCTCTTCTTCCTTCCTCTCATCTGTGCTGACGAGGAGCCCATCGTCGGAAAATGGATTCCAATAGAGGATCTGAATGGCTATTACATTAAGCTCGTAGCTGAATATGTGGTGTTTGATTACCACTACAAGTCTAAAAGGAATCTGACGCTGGATACGATCATTAAGGCAGAACAAAACGTAAGAAGCATAAATGGGAGTGGAATTGCAGACTATTACCGGCTGCTTTTGGCGGTGAAAGATGACGCACAGAGTAAGTGGTACGAGGCTACCGTAATGGACATCCCTGAGGATTATATAAGGGAACTCATCTCAATTAAACGCGTTAAGTAGAGTTTTATTTTTATTATTCTAAAAAACAAATACCAATAAATGTATGATGTTGTTTCGCATTCACTGATCCACAAATAAATTCAATTCGATTGTCATTGTTTGTCTAGGATTTTCAATATTGTTTTTTTCTTACTGTTTATTACTCCATCCGTCTTAAATTATATATCTATAGTCCAAGATTCTATTAGTTGAGAATTTTCATTGTTTTTTCATTGATCAAAAAATATTGAGGATGCTTGGATGGGGAGCAGGGCCCAGTATCATGAGGCTCTTAGGAAAAATAAGAAAACAATGAGAATGTTTTAAGACGTGATTTTACCCCTTTTTTTTAAGATTCAAAAACCCCTCCAAAATACAACAAAACTCACTCTTTCAAAATCTAAGTGTAAAATTTGAACTCTGTAAGGAATTTATACTGGCTTAATAGACATCAATTGGGGAGATATCACCTTATAGAAAGACACCACTTAAAGGGGTGTGTCCATATAGAAAAAATACCGTATACAGTGTCTCTGTAGAAAGACATTATTGTAAAAGGTGTCTTTTAGCTATCAAAAGTTATTATCTTAATTAAAATTGTCCTTTCAAAGAATTAAAGGACAATGATACATATAACCTGTAAAATTACACATTTCATTATACATTGATAGTCTTCATTACTTAATTCGTTACACATTAATGGTTCACCAAAAATAGGCTACTATTCTGGGCACAAAATCAAAACTTACGAAGCTTCAAATGAAAAACTGACCATTCATAATATAGGTCAATGTTTCTTAAACACCCAAACAAAATTTCAACTCATAGTACCAAAACTGTGAAAAAATAGATCACCAAAAATGAGCTACTATTTTGGGCACAAAATCAAAACCTACAAAGCCCTAAACAAAAAACTAATCATTCAGAATGTAGATCAAAATCTCTTGAACATTCAGACAAAATTTCAACTTAATCAAACTGTAAACTTTTGCAGATCAGACAAAATGACAAAACTACACATAGTACCAAAACTATAAAAATTTCCTCTGTTTTCTTTTCCCTTTTTTGCTGATTGGCTCCACTCACATGCACTCCGCTTTCTATTATATCATTCTAAAAACAAACTTATTTTATGTGTCTAATGGGTTGCAAAATCATGGGCTAAAACAAGAATGATTTTGTGAGAAAATAGACTCTTCCTCAAGATTTTGATTTGGTGGTTGAATGTATCGTCTGGTAGAAATAGTGAGAGGGAGAGAGGAAAGGAGAGGGAAAAAGAAAGGACTAAGTGCATTCGGGGAGTGTGAACCGTCAATGTATAACTGATTAAGTAACAAAAATCATTAGTGTATAACAAAATATGTAATTTTATAAGGTGTATGATATAAAATTAAATTTAAAATTAATTAAACAATAAATTTTCTACTAGTAGATTAAGTGCCCAAGTTCCCATATACATGATAATATAAAAGGGCTAAACCCAAAGCATGTCGAGCCATGAGTTCCAACGTTCATAATTATTTATGAACTGTGGGTAAATATATATATATATATATATATATATATATATATATCCTTTTGTTTTTTTTATTCTTTCAAATGTGGAATTTTCTTCACTTCAAACTCATTTTTTTATTCATATTTTTCAAAAACCAACCGCAATGTTGAAAATTATATTTATATATTTTTAAGTTGATTTGGTGGACCTAATCACTTCATCAACTACAAGAAATTTAATACCATTAAATATATATTACTAAATAATGTGCTTTGATTAAAGAATTATAAGTGTTAGATTAAAAAATTATGAATGTTAGATTAGTATAAATATTGATAAGTATAAAAAAAATTATATAAATCTACTGAGACTTTTTACAATTTAAAAAAAATTAATATGAAAAAAATTATTAAACACATAAATATCTAAAAGTATTATAAAACTACACCAAAAAACTCTCAAGCACAATTTCGAAGGCATTCTTAATTATTTTTTTTGTCCATTGTGGAACCCACTAGTGCCAAATCATCTCCATTGGCTTCTCTCACATACTTAATCCTCATAGGAGGGGCAGTAGCACCCCCGCCTGCAATCATTACCAACATAGACTGTCCTCTTTCCAGCGACGATAACGTATGGTCCCAACTAGAAGCTTCTCCAGCTCTGTGAATGTCAACAAATGGTTCATGTTGTGCGAGAAGACCAATCTTTTCATAAGTTGAAGCTATTAAGGTTTAAAACATCAGATAGCAAGACAGGAAAATTGGAAGAAAGGCATTTTATTGGGTGAGATTATTATCATATCTTAAATTATTAATATCATATTTTTTGATATAATTATCTTTTAAAAGAATTATATTTTTTACTTAATAAATTAAAAAATAATGATCAATTAAAATAAAGAATAACATTAATAATTAAAGGTATAATAAAAGCATCATCCCATTTTATTATAATTGAGAGATGTATGGAGAGTTGGCGTATGGTAGCCTTTTTTTTTTTTTTAATAAAGGAAATTGTTAGATTAAGAATTAGTATCTATTACTTTATAGGAGAGTCGAACGTTAAAGTTAGGTGTATTTCACCTGCTGCCTAATGGACAATCTAACCACATAGGGGATTGCAGCCTTTATATAGACTATAGGATAGACTATATTAGGAAATAAATAATTACATCAAAGTATGTAAATACAATCAATCCATGAATCAAATATATTATTTAATCAATCAATCACTGAAGTGATTGAATCTCTTAATTCCTCAACAGAAGCCAAGCTCCAATCTCTGAGTCATGTTCCATAAGATTTGCATAAGGCAAGGGTAGGGGCAATAACGTATGAACAAAGAACCAGATACCGCTTTAGCGTTGAATAAATGATTGGAAGGGTAGGGTCACTGTTAATATAGCAACCAGACCCACATTTATATCCAGAAGTTGCAAAACGGGTAGGTAACGTGTCTTTAAGGAATAGAATATCCTGTCTTTTTGTTTCTTTTCGGTTAGTATTTTCAAAGTCTTATCATCCGTTACACCATATGATACGTCGTTAACCCCCAAAACAAATAGAATGATCCATAAACAAAC